AAGGTTACAAGTATGGGCCCCTAATATGGACCCTTAGGCCTCTCTAGGGACCCTTAAGGTTTAGGGGTTTAGGGTTTAGGGTTTAGGGTTTAGGGTTTAGGGTTTAGGGTTTAGGGTAAGGGTACATATAGGGTATATAGTAGGTATAAGGATCCCACCCTTAAGGGCCCATACTAGGGGCCCATGGTTTCAACCTGAGAGGTTGGGTTTCAAGCACATGGTGCTGAGCCAGACCCTGCAGACGCTGGAGCTTGCGGGCGACTTTGCCCTGCTGGGGTTTAGGGTTTAGGGTTCAGGGTTCAGGGTTTAGGGTTTAGGGTTTAGGGGTTTAGGGTTTAGAGTTTAGGGTTTTAGGGACTAACGGAAGTGGCTTACCCATAGTCCCGTCTCCCCTAATATTACACGGCCCAACCCCAATAACAACTTTAAAAGTGGTAGTCCCTACGCCCTAAAATCCAAACTCTAGACCCCAAGCCCTAAAATCTAAACTCTAAACCCTAAACCCGAAAATCTAAACTCTAAACCCTGAACCCTAAAATCTAAGCTCTGTTATTATTAGGGGGCTTTTTCTCTGGTGTCACTTTAAAGGGACCAGGGACATTGCTCCGCTTCTGATGGAGCCCTTGCCTTTGCTTCTGCTCTGCTCTTGCTCCTGAAACCCCTGAAAAGGGCTAAAGAGGGTTTAGGGTTTAGGGTTTAGGGTTTAGGGTTTAGGGTTTAGGGTTTAGGGTTTAGGGTTTAGGGTAGGAGGATTTCCAGAAAGTGTTTTTGTTTCATAAAGGGGGGGTGTTTAAGAAAAGGGGGAAGGGATGAATCCCAGGCAACAACGTCACTGATCTCCAATTCCTTCCTGCCTGCTTGCGCATGGACCTCAGCAGGAACTTGGGTCCTGTGAGTATCTCCCCGTCAGCCCTCGAAGAAGCCGCAAGAACTGACCTGGATTTTGACCTAGCGCACACGGAGCTTGCCAACGTTGAGGAGGTCCGGTCATTGCTGACGAAGCAGCTCCCGCTAGAGCCAGACAGGTGGGGTGCAGTCGAAAGCTTGCTTATCGTCTAGTTGATCCCTAAACCCTAAACCCCAAACCCTAAACCCCAAACCCTAAACCCTAAACCCTAAACCCTAAACGTTGATCCCTAAACCCCAAACTCGAAGCAAAGGCCGCCCACCTAACGTGGGTGGGCGGCGCTTAAGCCCCTCGCAACCGATCGCGCAAAACCGACCAGTACGCCAGCCCTTCTCTCCACAGCCCATGGGGACTGGAGCACACGGTTTAGGGTTCAGGGTTTAGGGGCCCCGGAATACGTTCTCCCCGGGACCAGCACTGGTCCCTGAATAAAGTCATTACAGTAAATCCCGAGTCTGCATTCTGGCTTCTTTTGGCTGAGCACTGACCCCCCACAAAATGAGCAGCATTCAGCGTAGACGGCGTGGGGTGGGAAAGAAAGAGGGAAAAAGCCCTCTATACATAGGCTTTCGCAGCTCGTCGCCATAGTACGATGCACTCGACACAACCCTGTCGCAAGACACTATCGCCAAAGCGTTTTTCCACGGCAATTCCGCGTAGTCGCGATGGTACAAACCTTTTACGTAAGAAAACTTCCTTGAATTATAGCAGTAACCCGCAATACTACAGAAGCCTTACTAATCAGAATAGGGTTTTGGGTCTATACGAGTATAGACAGAATAGGTAACCCCCAATAGTGCAATACGAGATGTGAAATTACGCTCTGGGCTGTTGGACTTGCTAGCTGTCCAAAACCAAACCCAAATATTATACACCACGTTTGGAACCTTAATCCCAAAGCCCAAGACCCTAAATCTTAAACCTTAATTTATTAAACCCTAAAAACACCCTGAAACTCTGGATTCCAGAGGTCCTTCGTCAACGAAACAGGCGGCTACGTTTGCTCGCAGTTCGCTGCGTCGACGCTGAAGGTCACCCCAGACAGATTCTTCGTAGTGGAGTAGGGGGCCTTTATATCTTTTTTGGGTAGAATGATCCCTATAGTTTAGGCTAACTTTTAGCTGCCCCAGGATACTGGACAGCTGAGGATTCATGCCCTTGGAGATGTGCGTTTGCCGAGCAGGCTATTTTGGCGTCGGGACGTCGTGCAAACCTTGTCCCGAAGATACCTTCTCAGACAGTGATGGGCAAGAGGTGTGTCAAGCGTGCCCGGAACTTAGTGGCTTAGTGCTCGTTGTAAAGTCCCAGAAAATCTACTAACCGTTACATAGACCTTAATGTAGATCAACATAGAGTATTCGGGTGCCATCAATTTCTATCCCTCAACCCTTAGGCCTTAAAGCTTGCACCTCAAACCTTCATCCTAAACGTTAAAGACCTCTAAGGCCCTGCGCACAGTCATTCCCAAGCAGCAGCATCATCTCTTCATTCTTGCGACTGTGACTTTGGAAAGCCCAAGCTCCAAAACGGTCGCCGGCAATGTGTTGCTTGGCTGCGTTATTTTGTTATTTGAGTTGCAGATTTTAACGCAGAGCCCTAAGCCCGAAACCCTAAACCGTGAACCATTGGTCGTAAAAGCTCAACATGGGATTTATAGGGATTCTCTTGGGGTGTCAGGGGCTTCTCAGAAGAATTAGGCCGAACGATGGGCGTCTTGGGTTTTTGTGTTTCTGTAGTGCACATAGGTAGTTTTCTACATTAGGGTCCGTTCTAGGTTCCTTTCTATAAGGCTGCCACACTAGTTTGGGGACCTAAAACGGATTCCACTTAAGAAAGCTATCCACATAGTGAGGATGCTAAACATGAATCGTCCCGAGTCCCGAAGTCAACCAAGGCTTGTGGCAAGCACACAGCGCTTTCGGATGGGGCGTGTGCTCCTGGGTCCCTGTTCAGGTGGAAAGCCCTTACAAAGCCATTTTATCTCCATATTTTATGGTGTAACCATCATGTAAAGGTCACGTAGACTACCGTTAAAGACCTTCATATTACGGTGATTTAAGCTGACGTTCCCCAACACCTCCAGATCTAAACTTACATTGGTCGCAAGACTAAGCTCTCGTAAGTTTCAAGCCTTAGAAGCAAATTATGAGGGGAGACTAGCGTCAATACAGAAGCCTGAGTGATCATGAATACAATTCCTTAGCATATTTTTGATACGCATACTATAATAATGTGTCTCCAAACTCTATTCTAGCGATTAAGGCACCCGTACCTTTCGCGGACATTAGTCGGTCAGAGGAAGCGAATCAAGCGAACCTGTCGCACGTTGACCACGTCAGCGCTTAGCCGGCCCCGAAACACGAACTCTAAACCTCACGCTGTACGTAGACCTTACTCAAAGTCCTACGTCCTAGTCATCCTACAAGACCCCATAGAAACCCTGGGCGTAACCCTATAGGAATCCAAAGAATCGCTATAGAAGGCTTGTAGTAACCATAGTCAAATCCCTAAACCCTAAACCCTAAACCCTAAACCCTAAACCAATCCCAAGAAAGCCCCAAGAAAGCTTCCCCAAGAAAGAGCTCAGGCTCCATGCAGCAAGCTCCATTTGCAGTGCAATGGCACCGGCCACATCGCCGAGGTGTTTGGCGGTTTAGGCTTTAGGGTTTAGGGTTTAGGGTTTAGGGTTTAGGGTTTAGGGTTTAGGGTTTAGGGTTTAGGGGTTTAGTATTTAGGGTTTAGAGTTTAGGGTTTAGGGGTTTAGGGTTTAGGCTTTATGGTTTAGGGTTTAGGGTTTACACCAGCACGTTATTTACCGTTATTTCCTCTGCTGGCCAGGCCACCCAAAATGCACTTCCTTGTACTCCGTGTCCTCCATCAGCAAAAGACATGAACATACCACGAAACTTTCATCCTGGTCGGCGGACTAAACTACCTTAACTTAGTTCCCCAATACCCAACCTTTAAACTGTTCGGGCTCTTATGCTTTAGTAGAAAGTTTAACCTTTCATCTCCCTGGCTTGTTGGGGAAGTAAACCCTAAACCCTAAACCGTCCTTGAAGGAGGCTTTTCCCGAGTCTGGGTACTCCCGGCTTGCGACGGCCGGCGTCTTCCGATGCTTGTATCTGGGTTCTGCAGAGAGTTCCTTCGGGTTTAGGGTTTCAGGGTTTAGGGTTCAGGGTTTAGGGTTGAGCCGGGCGAGCTCCAATCAAGCCTGTGTAAAAAAGGGTTTAGGGTTCAGGGTCGAGGGTTTCGGGTTCAGGGTTTAGGGTTTAGGGTTCCTCTAAGGATTCCCCTTTAAGTGTAGGGTGTAGGGCTTAGGTCACATGCCACATTACTGTGTTAACTTGCATTGCTTGCCAGAAGTCTTCGCCAAGACTCTACGAGGTTTCGCCTCAGTAGTACCGTTTTGTTTTACGGTTTAGGGTTTAGGGTTTAGGGTTCAGGGTTTAGGGTTTAGGGTTCCTCTAAGGATTCCCCTTTAAGTGTAGGGTGTAGGGCTTAGGTCACATGCCACCTTGCTGTGTTAACTTGCATTGCTTGCCAGAAGTCTTCGCCAAGACTCTACGAGGTTTCGCCTCAGTAGTACCGTTTTGTTTTACGGTTCCCTTATATTGGGTTTAGGGTTTAGGGTTTAGGGTTTAGGGTTTAGGGTTTAGGGTTTAGGGTTGAATACCAGGAAAAAAGGGGGCCCCTAGAGTAGTAAAGGGACCATAGGGAGCCTAGTCCTAGTCTTGAAAAACCCTCGTCATGGCTAAACCCTAAGCCCTAAACCCTTTAACGCAAGACCCTAAAACCCTAAACCCTAAATCCCAAACCCCTAAACTTTAAGCCCCTAAACCCTAAATCCTAAACCCTAGTCTTTAAAGCCCCTCATCATGGCAGAGGTTATAGTCGAAGCCATAAAGTTGGAACACTAGAATCCTCATGGCCTTGAGGTAAAGTATTGGGAATTCCAGCACTAATCATCCTACAGCCAACCCCAGAAAGTTGGAGCATGGGTTTAGGAGGATTTGTGCTAGGATCCTTTATAGTTTACCTTAAGGGAATGAGGATATTCATGTTCCAAGTTTCTGGCCTCTACTGTACATCCATGTTCCAACTTTCTGGGGTTTGCTGTAGGCTGGACAAAGAGTAAAACCCTAAGCCCTAAACCCTAAACCCTAAAACCCTTAAACCCTAAAACCCTAAAACCCTAAGACCCTAAACCCTGAAGCCCTAAAAACCTAAACCCTACCCCTGCTACCCCAACAGCCCCATGACATGCCCTGAGCAGGCCGTCGTCCGGTGCACTTGAAAGCTGTATCTAAGGGCTTTAGGAGGGACCCTTAATAGGGACTCTTGTAGGTTATTGGGGTTCATATGGAGACTACCTGGCCATATAAGGTGTATATAAGGACTATACAATGGTTACTTAAGGTAATGGCATTAAGGGTGCCTATTAGGGGTCCCTCCTAAAGTCCTTAGACTGTAGCGTTTGGGGTCTTAGGGCTTTAGCGTTTTAGGATTTCGGGTTTTTCCGGTTTTCGGGTTTTAGGGTTTAGGGTTCAGGGTTTTAGGGTTTAGGCTCTTCGGGGTTAAGGGTTTTAGGGTTTAGGGTTTAGGATTTAGGGCTTTAGCGTTACAGGGTTTATGGTGGCTTAGGGTTTAGGGGTTAGGGTTTTAGGGTTTAGGGTTTTAGGGTTTTCGGGTTTAGGGTTTTCGGGTTTAGGGTTTAGTGTTTTAGGGTCTAGGGTTCAGAAAGTTCTTGTTCCTAGAGCCTTACAGCCTGAACCTCCGAACTCCTAGACTCCAAAGCCTTAACCCTAAACCCTAAACCCTAAACCCTAAACCCTAAACCCTAAACCCTAAACCCTAAACCCTAAACCCTAAACCCTAAACCTTAACCTTAACCCCCCATACCCCTAAAGCCGGATCAAGAGTCCAGGCATGCCTCTCGATGCCCCGGTGCGCCTGCCTGTGCAACCGGACCCGGGATCATCCTGGCACGCGTTTCTTCGTCTTTTCCCTTGTTGCTCTATGAGAAAATAGTGGTTTTGAGAAAGATGGCGTTATCCTAAACCTTAAACCCTAAACCCTAAACCCTAAACCCTAAAGCCTAAAGCCTAAAGCCTAAAGCCTAAAGCCTAAAGCCTAAAGCCCAAAGCCCAAAGCCCAAAGCCCAAAGCCCAACCCGTTTTTGCTAGGACTGTAACCTTCAAGCCGAATCCCAAAGATCCTGAACCCCCAGACCCTGCACCCTGCCCAAATGAGCTACCTGGGCCTACCGTTTTTTAGGGACTGACATGTGGAACTCATAATAAGGAGCCCTAAACAGGTTGGTTCTGCAGGGCCCAGGTAACGGTTCGAGCTCCCATAAACCCTATATACCCTAAACCCTGAACCCTAAGCCCTAAACCCTGAAACCCTAAACCCTGAACCCTAAACCTTAAACCCTAAACCCTACATAAACCTTAAACCTTAAACCCTAAACCCCAAACCCCTAAACCCGGGGCATTCAAAGAGATTGAAAGACCCACCAGAGTCCCATAACCCCACTTCCATGGCTTTGGGTTTTGGGTTTACTTAGTTCTCCAGTACGCAGGGTTTAGCGCTTAGGGTAGCGGGTTTAGGGGTTTAGGGTTTGGGGTTTACCCCAACACCCAAACCTTTATAAGCTTTTTTGGTTCGTACATTTCAGTAGCCAATGGGCGACACCCAAACCTTTACAAACTTTTTTAGTTCTGATATTTCAGTAGCAATCTGAAAGTTTAACCTCTCATTTCCCTGGCCTGTTCGGGGAAGTAAGTAACCCTACTTCCAGGGTTCTGGGGACTTCGGGTTTCGGGTTTAGGGTTAAGTAAATAAGCAGTTCTGTTGCACAGCTGTCAGTCCCTAAACCCTAAACCCTTAACCCTAAAGCCCTAAACCCTAAACCCTAAATCCTAAACTGTCCTACAAGGGACCCCAGTTGGAGTTGACTCTCCAAGTAGAGATCTCAAACCTACACCTTAAATCGTAGATCGTAACCTTCAAGAAAACCAAGGTTTAGGGTTTAGGCCTCAACTCGTAGATCGTAATCCTAAACCCTAAACCCTAAACCCTCAGGGCTTTGGGAGTCCCCAGGATACTCCGGCCCACTTTGTGTCGATTGTGCTCCGGGGTTCCGCTCCACTGGCACCGTCGCCTGGGCTGCATCCTCGAGCTCAGTGGGCTGTTACAGTTTGGGTTTTGGGTTTAGGGTTTAGGGTTTAGGGGTTGTGGGTTTAGTTAGGGGTTTAGGGTTTAGGGTTTGTGGGTTTAGGGTTACGGGGTGAGGGGTTGAGGGTTTAGGGGGTTTGGGTTTAGGGGTTAGGGGTTTAGGGGCTTAGGGGGTAGGGTTAATGGGCTGTTGAATGGGCCTCATAGTACCTTTATAGCCTTTACAGGGTTGGAATAGAGGTTTCATTTGAACGATTAGGCTTTAGCGTTTAGGGTTTTTGTTGGGTCAAGGTTTGTTTTTTAGGCTTTAGAGCCTGGGTTTAGGGTGTATATTTTTTTATTTAAGGCTTCTGTTTATAGTTCACAGATAGTCTCCATTAGTTCCCTTTTAGGGTTATCTTTTTGGATCCTAGTTATCAAACTGCTCCATGGGTCAGGGCGTGGGGGTGAGGATTGAGGTTCACGGTTTGCATGGCTATGTTGTGTGGCTTTCCTAGGAGAAGATCTAGGTGGTTGTGTCATTAATTTCCTTCCTTCTTTTCCCATTATAAAAACCCAACCGAACCTCCTATTCCAAGACACATTTCGTTCATGCCTTGTTCGTTCCTCACTTTCGCTTTGTTTCAATGGGGGCGTTCTTTTAAGTTTGTCCTTCTTGGGTTACGTTGCTTTCAGGATCCACGCGAAACATGTGCTTTTGAACCCTAAACCCTAAACCCCAAACCCCAAACCCTAAACCCTAAACCCTAAACCCTAAACCCTAAACCCTAAGCCCTAAACCCTAAGCGGAGTAGAGATGGAGATGAGTTCTCCCATGACCGCGCGGATGCAGTTCAGGGTGTGCAACCCACCTGTTTTCAAGCAGTACCTGTTTAGGGTTTAGGGTTTTGGGTTTAGGGTTTAGGGTTTAGGGCTTCTACCTACAGAAGTTCGCTTGGCCGGCCATGATCAGTTTGTTGTAATTCGCCCATGTTCATGCTCACGTTTAAAGTAGCCGAGGCTTGTGCCGAGTGCTTGGACCTGCATGGGGAGTCGATAAGCTTCCTCTCCTTTGCGCTGCTGGGCGTGCTGTGCTTAGCCGGCGCCGCTGCCATCGCCTATGCTTGCAGGTGCGGTGCAAACTGTTTCGAACTTATTGTAGGGGCCTAAACAATTACCTATACTATTTTGGGGTTTCCTTATTAGAATTATAGTATAATAGGCCCCGAAACCCTATTTTAATTATGAGGGCCCCTACCCTAAACCCTAAACCCTAAACCCTAAACCCTACATTCTGGGAGCTTAGCGCAAGCTATTGAGGGATGGGTGTCAAGGCTTCAGGGCTGTAGTTTCGGTCGTCTCTGCTTGCCCTTGCCATGGATGGTTATAGTCGGGGTTTAGGGTTTAGGGTTTAGGGTTGTGGCTGTTGTTGGGATGGTCATGGAGCTGTGATGGTGATGGGGCTGGTGAGATGGATCCGTCTCAGTTGCTGTGCCTTGCCAGGGGCCGCTTTCCTAGTCCTGGCCTGACTTCGCAATGCGCCGGCCGCCTTTTCGTAACCCAGGCACCAGGGTTTGAGAAGTTTAAGGCTCTGGCGTTTTGGGGTTGCTTAGAGGGTCGGGGGACGTAGTAAGTAGTCATTATATAGACTTACAATAAGTATTAGTATCATAACCCCTTCTTTTAGAGTACTTATAACTCTACAAACCCTAAACCCTAAACCTTAAACCCTAAACCCTATCAGTGTTTTGAAACTGGGGGCGTTGGCGGCCTTTTAGTTTCGGGCTGTGCGGGATTAGGGTTGCACTTTGTGGTTGAGGGCTTCAGGGTTTGGGGTTGAGGGTTTAGGGTTGAGGGCTTCAGGGCTTCGGCCAGGTAGGGGTTTAGGGTTTTCAGCGTTGCGAGGTTTAGTTCAGGCTTTTTCAGAGTCTTCCAGCCTGAGACCTAAAGCCTAAACCCGAAGCCCTAAACCCTCAACCCCTAAACCCTAAACCCCTAAACCCTGAACCCTGAACCCTGAACCCTGAACCCTAAACCCTAAGCCCAGGTGCGGGAGGCCATATTCAGCACCGTCGCTGCGGCGCAGGCCGAAGGC